GGAGAGGGAGTGCACTTTCCAAGTACTCTATTCTTTGCACTTAAGAAACTCAGAGCCTCATGCTTGCTAGGCAGGTGCTCTGTTGCTTGAGCCATAGCCACACTCAGTTTTAATGAAGTATACCAGCTACGCATACTAAGCTACATCCACTTCCAAATAATTAGTGTCAATAGTTATATAAGCCAGGTTATAGTCTAATTTGTAGTTTTTGCAATCCTTTGGGGGAACAACAGAATATTTTCTCACCGCTATTCTCATATTTCTGTTTTGACTCAGTAAAACAGGTAATATATTTAAACAAACCTAACCATCTGAAATTTAAAATATATCTAAATATGTTTCTGTCAATAGGTGACACAAGAAGGACTGAGGAAAAAAGTTAATCTGTAATCATTTGCAAATGTAGCTTTAAATGCTTTTATTGGGAAGGAAAGAGAATGAAGAATGGGTGACTAAGTGCATGGATGAAGCACTCAGAAAACACAGGGAAAGAAATAATAAGAAAAATATAAATCAGAACAAAAAGATAATTAATACTTAATTGGAAATTTATTATTTGACAAAACTATAGACAAACAACTAATAGAGATCTGTTACAAAAATTAAAAATAAACCAATCTAATATTTAATACCATATTTAATATAAATGTATAGATAGAATGGAGACAAATAAGATAATGTCAATATTTGAATACCAAGAGAAGAAAAGTTGTTGGGAGTTTTTATGAGGGTGATAATAGGGTTTTTAAGCTTCAGAAAGGTTTTAGAAGCTGAATGAAAACAGGCCAAGTCTGGCACTTCTGAGGTCCAGGAGACCCGAGAGTTCTTTCAGTTGAATGAGGACCTGAAGGCAAGGCTACAGAAGATCCTAAGAAGAAGTTAGTCAAGAAGCCCACATTTTCAGAATTTCAGAAACTGAACAGAAGGAGCTCAACTATGAAGTCAGATCAGAGTTTGGGACAGATTCTTTGGCTCTTCAGAAAAACGCCTATTTCTACTGACTTTACCTGCTAAATTAAGTGGTTCTAAAAGTTCTTGGCACAATTTTAAAATACTATTTCTTATATGGTACTATTTTTAATAACAGTACTTAGAGAATAAGTGATGAAAGACTTTGATTATACAGAAATACATATGAGATTTGATCTTCAATGACTTTACTCTGAATTCTTCTTGCTATTTATTGTCACACTAACATTTCACTTTAATCACTGCTGCCCATCAGATCTGACAACTGCATTAATTTCCACATGATTTAGTAGCACATGTCGGAGCCACTGTTACCAATTGAAAGCAGCTTACTATATCTTGTGAAGAATTCTGCTAATCATATTTCACATCTAAATTAGGTAACTTTGATATAGAAACTATCATACCTGAAAAAAACAAGCAAAACTATGGACACCATGTTTTCCCTAGAAATGCACAATTTACAATTATTTATATATTGAATATACTGTCACCTTTAATAATTGTTTTGAAAGGAAAATAACTTTCTAGAAGCTCTGAGTAATGGATGAGAAGGAAAATGGTTTTTTAACATTCAAAAAGGAAAACAGTGCTCATCTCTTTTTAAGAGCTATTCAGATGAAAAATTGCTTGGCATGAGCTTGATCTATATGTTTTTCATGGTTATTAGTAATGAAGATGCATTAACCATATTCTCTTGATAATACTTGAGCTGTGTCTTAGTACTTTTATCAACATAGAAATTGCACAACTGGCAATATGGGAATCTGAATAGTACATTTTTGTTTATAAAAAGGGGTAACAACATTATAACTTCTTCATATCTATGAGTTATGAATCTTGACTTGCAAACAAGCAAAACCAAAATGCAACCAATTGTCAGTATCATGTAGCTTTTCTTTCTGCAGACACACTCACAAGAAGTGGGAACACATGCAGGCTGCTGAACAAAATGTAATGCCAGAGGTGAATGTCTGGTTAATCTAGAATTTATGAGTTCTTTTCATTCCATTCATTGTTGTTTTTTTCTGTCAGTAAACATGTATTGAGAACAAACTTTCTCTGTTGCTAACCTGTAGCATCTGCAAATCAAGAACACGCTACCTCATTAGCCAGTAACTGAAAGCTGGGAAGGAGGTGGAGCATAACACTCTATATCCTTATCTTCACATTTTCATAATTTTGGAAATGAATCCTTTTAGGATGGAACTTTATTATGAAAAGAACCATTTGAATTCTTTCCACACTTTATTAAGTTAGGAATGAATACATCTTCCTTTTATAAAGCTATATTCCAGCTTTTAGATTAGAATTTTTCTTTCTCAAAGTAATGTCAGTCCCCCTGTACCTAGCTTATAACATTAGGTAGTACCATTAGAGAAAACTAAAATGAAGATATGTAATGTTCTTTCCTTTCTTCATATAGTCATGGAGCACTTCTGTTTTAGACTGCTATCTAGTAGCGCCAAGGGCATAAATAACTGTCATAATAACTAGAATTTCCATGTAAGTGCTGCCAGATAGATCTGAGAGAGGGAAATTATAGTAAAATTCAACTTAACTAAAAATCACATAGAATCTTTTTCATTTTTATAAAAATGAATTTTGATTAGTGATTTGGACAGTGAAAATACAAAATTTAGTATTGGCATGGGTTAAAAGTGGCTCCTACAAATATTTGGTAAGTATCATTGTCTTCAAGATAGTAATCTCCCAAGACATCACCAAGGAAGTGATGATTCATTTAAAAAAGTATTTGGTGCCCAATATTTGTCAGACCGAGTTGCCAGCAAACCATAGAAAGGGTGTGGGAAGCTGATAGCTACTGCATGGTAGAGTAAAACAAGAAAGAACCTTTTGGTCTATAATTCACAAGTCTTTGGTGGCCTAGAATGATTTTAAGGTAGTAGCAAAGAAGCTACAACCAGAGCTTAGTAGACCAAAAACTGGGGAAACAGAGATATTCCAGGTTTTGAAAAAAATCTGAATAGAGGGGTTGGAGATGTGGCTCAATTGGTATAGCCCTAGCCAATGAATGAAAGCAGCAGATACCAATCCTGGTTGAAGGAAAGGAGGGAGGAAGAGAGGAAGGTAGGGAAGGAGACAAGAAGGGAGGAAGAGAGGAAGGGAGGGAGGAGGGAAATTTTGGAAAAGGAATGGTAATTGGATAGGAATGAAGGCTCAGAGAAACAACTAGAATGGACCCATACTCACTCACCACAGTTATATGGGAATGAAAATGGTAAAGTAGAAGAAAATGTCAGTGCAAGCAGGGGTTATACCATGGGGGAGGGACATACAAAGCAACAAAGAAATAATCTTATAACCTGTTTTCACTGTATTTGAGGTTGGTATAATTTGTGGAGGGGAAAGGAAAAAACAAATTGTTTAAATAAGGATACAGTTGGATCCATTGCAAAATGAGATGTACAAGTCGTTATGTGGAAAAACGAACTTTACAATTTTGGTGGGGGGGGAGGAAGATTGGGGGGAAGGGGGGGCGGGGGAGGATGGGAAGGGGAAACAGAGGAGGAGGCTACAATGCTTGATAAGAAATGTATTCATTATCTTGCCCATGTAATTGTAACCCTTCTGTACATTATTTTCATAATAAAAAAAAAGAGAAAAAAAAAGAAAATGTCAGTGCAGGCATGGAGGTCAGTAGCAACCATCTCAAAGGATGAGCTGAGATGTAATTCCAACCCCAAATGAAGAGACTGATCATGGCTAGGAGTAGGGATCCTTCTTCCATTATGACAGGACAAAAGACTTAGACTGTAGGTAATGCAACTACCAGTTATAACAAATATTTTAAAGCACCTATAATGTGCTTAAATGACAGTATAGCAGAATTAACTAAAGAGACAAAAATCCTGCTGTCCTGAAATTGTAAAATACATGTCAGATGATGAAAAGTGCTCTAAAACAATGAACTTGGGAAGCCGGGCAGGAGAATATGGAGTGCAGGAATAGAGGATGAAGGTAGATTGCAAGTTTATTGAATTGGGCATTCATAATGTAACTTTTAGGAACTTACTTGATAACTAAAAAATACTTATTTTTAAAATCTGAAAATTTGCACCTATTACTCATAGGAAATCTATTCTTAGCCTCATTTCACAAGTGCCCTCTCTTGTGTCTCTAGGATTTACTAAGCCTTGTACCTCTCCTGTTAAAAAGTATGTATTTTTTAAACATATACTTATTCATCTGACTTCTTAACTAATGAATTTTATGGCTTGGATATGAAGTGACTGACAAAAGAAAAAGAAAAACCACTTACTTGTTAAAAACTTAGTCCCCACCTCTTTGAGAGGTGATTGTACTAGAATGGCTCTGACCTAATCAATGGATCAGTCCCTATGGATTCATAACATGATGGCATTATTGAGAAGTGGTAGAAAACAGGAAGTGAGACTTAGTTACAAGAAATAAGGAACTAGGGGCATGTCTTAGATATGGTGTATTTTGCCATAGCCCCTTCCCATCTTGGTCATTCTACTTCCTGGCCACCATAGAGTGAGCAGCTCTGCTCTGTCATATCCTTCCCACCATGATGTTTCAGCCTTACTTAGGCCTATTTAGGCCTAAAGCAGAAGAACAAGAAACTACAGACTGAAACTTCTAAAACCATGAGCCAAAGTAAAGCCTTGATTGATTATTTCAGGTATTTTGTCAAAGCACAGAAAGGCTAGCTAATGCAGTATATTTTCTTCAATACTATACTATGATGTCTCTTTGAGGTATTTGCATCCTCAGAACCTAGCACAGTTATAAATGAGTGAGTGAAAGAAGGAAGTAATGCATAAATGACAGATTGTTTTCCTTGAACCATATCTTTAAGAGTCTCATTATTATTCTGTGGTTACATTTACTTTTTTTCTTACTTCACATAACTGACCTTGTACATGATCTTTTTCAAGGCATGGCAAGGTACGTTTTCGTACCAATTGAGTATGTCAAATATTATCATCCTCTGATTTCAACAATATCTCTCCATTGCATTTCTTTTTTTGTTCTTTATATTACAGGAGCAATGCCAAAGGTGCTCCTCTGAATATAAATAAGGTCTCCAATAGCCTGATTAACTTTGGAAGAAAGTTGATTTCTCCAGCAGTGGCCCCTGGCAGTTCCGGTGGTCCTGGCCCTGGCCCTGGGGGCAGTAGTAGCAGCTCTTCCTCTGCTGTGAACCCCACCAGGACCTCCACAGAAGCAACAAAACATCATTTGCAGCAACAACAGCAGCAGCGGCTAATGAAATCTGAAAGCATGCCAGTGCAGTTGAACAAAGGTAGGAAAGAGCACTAAGAAATTGAAAGAGCACAGAGCATAGTCTAGGATTCCCTCCGTGGGCACTAGAGTCAACCTCCCGGAGATAGAGGGGATTAATGAAAACTTAATTTTTAAGTTGGTATTTCAGATACTATATTCTTTTTATTTAAGAACATTTTTCTGAATTAATTGTTATGATATTTTTTAGCATTTGTATTCTAAAACACTTGCATTTTTGTCCTGTGGATGTTCATACTGTATAATGGTGTGACTGGTCACAGCAGAACCTGAGATCAGTTGTCTGTGTTGTCTGTGACGTCAATCCTGATATGTCTGTGAGATGACTGCTGCTTTTCTGAGATAGAAAGCTCTAACACCATGGCCTTTACTAGTCATGGTGTTCAACAGTGCATCAGTGGCTCAAAGGAAGCACGCACTGAGCTGGTGGTCTCTCATCCAGCTGCTCTACCTCTAAGGAATGCTACAAAGATCTCAAGCAGCCAAAAGTAAATTTTTGAGCCCATGAACTAAGGATGTAAGAACAAAGGAAAGCTAGGAGGGGGCCTGACACACATCTCTGGTGAGGGCAGGCGCTGCTTCTGGTGGCACTCTTGCCCTTCTCAGTGCCAAGAAGCCCTTCTGTGTTTCAGGCCTTCTCCTCATTCCTCGACCTCATGCACCGATTCCATAAAGAGAGCCTTTAGATTCTTACTTAGAGCCTTACATTGTTATTTTTCACTTCAACATTCTGTGAATAGAATTGATTTCCACACTTCTTTTTAGTGGTGAGACTGCTAACTATACTTTAGAAGCAAGAAGTAATAACATGAGAGCCGGAAATATACAAAAAACAATGCTAAGACCTCAGAGAGCACAGCAGTTTGGGGCACATATCCTGCCCCAACTCTCATTCATATCTTAAAGAGATCACCATGTCACCTCAGCATAGTTTCTTAATGTTGACAATAACAACAGTAATACTGCCAATAAGAAGACCTTAAACAATGACCTATTTATGCTACTTATGAACATTCTACCCACAATTATTACAAGTTTTACATATTGATATTTAAATTAAAAACATTAAATGGACATTATTCCCAGTGATACAATTTAGTGAGTACAGTGTGTGTGTGCATGCATGTATGTCTATATTTCTACACTGCTTACATCATGTTACTGCTCCTTCCTATATTTGCATATATTTCCTATATTTCTTTGTCTATATGAAATATTAGATATCATATAATTAGTATTTAAATTTTTATTAGAGTATTCAGTATACCTTATGTGAGCATATCTCATTTAAAATTACTTCCCTCTTAACGTAGAACTGTCACATATGATTAAAGAAAAAAAGACTTCAAATTATTAACATGTTGAAAATGTATTTTAATACCAGGAGGCATGCCCACTTCTAGAAAGAAATGAATGTTATTTTGTATATTTCCTAATTGTACTGTTTCATTGTTCTAAACAAATATGATTTCAATATTGCTTTGATAACAAGCTTTAGTCAGTTGTAATTCTAACTGATGGCAGGCAAATGAGTCAGAGAATCTCTTAATGCTGTAGCTTAAATTTTCTGAGGAACCAAGCCAAATGACTACAGAAATATAAAGTTGTGTCTCTAAGGAAATGTCAAGTATTAATATCACAGTAAGTGAGAAAGGAAGTGCATAGAGACTGAACAATTGATGAAAACGAAGTCCCAGTTGTATGGAGACAACAGAGCACTTAGGCATTTGGAACATGAGCATCACTGGGGCATTTTTAACTGATCCTGCCCTGAAAGAAATTGGCCTTGTTTTGCAAATCTTCTGTATTTCTATTCTGGTTCATTTTCTCATGTCAGTCCACCAAACAGCAAAACAAACAAAAAAACCTTGTCTACCTTCATATTAAAGATAAATATTAGAGCTACATAAAGGTTTAAGTGAAATAAAGGGCAAAAGAGTAGTTTACAGAGTTACAAAAGAGTGTGCTTTAATCCTCTTCCTCTTTCCACCTGCTGATGGGCTCTCAATGACAGCTGCAGAAGCTCACTATTTCCTTACCCTCAAAAAAAGAGGTTTGAACTGATCCCTACAGTCTTCTGGCCTTAAATCCATGGTTCTTGGTGAAAAATCCATTCATAAATTTTCCAATGTAGACATCAGTCTCTCTCCCCCGCCCCAGTACTGGTGCTTGAACTCAGGACCTCAAGCTCTTGCTTGGCTTTTTCACTCAGGATAGCTATGGCTCTACCACTTGAGCCATACCTGCAGTTCCTGCTTTTAGCTCGAATAAACTGGATGCAATAGTCATACAGATTTTCTCAGCTGACTTTGAACCAAGATCTCAAAATCTCAGTCTCCTGTAGCAACAAGGATTATAGGCATGAGCCAATAGTACCTGTTCCTTTTTTTTTTTTTTTTTTTTTGGTGGTGGTGGTGGTAGTGCTACTATAGTTTGAACTAAGAACTTAGAGCTTGCTTGCTGGGCTACTTGAGTCACTACACCTCCAGCCCTTATTGTTATGGAGATTGAGTCTCTCAGATTTTTCTGCCTGAGGTGGTGGCCTCAACCACAGCTGAGATCTCAGCCTCCTTAATAGCTTGGATTGAAGGCATTAGCCACCAGTGCCCAGCTCCACATTGATTCTTGATACTACCATTTCCTGTGGTGTTTCACCAGACCAACTCACTGGCAGACCTGGCAGCTAAGATCAGTGAACATAGTAGCCTATCAGGGGGCCCTTACTGGAGATGATTTAGAAGTATTTCTGTGGTCATGTACTTTGTGCCTTTGAGGAAAGATAATGCAGTAGTTGCTTTATTGGGCTGACCTGGAAATTTTGTATGCTATTTGATAAAGTGGCTGTAAAAATGAATGTGCTATGGCTTTCATAGATTACTGATATTTGTATTTGTAAGGTAGAAGTTGTGTTTCTGACCCAAATTTCTGCATTTGTTATTTATAGTACAAGGTGTAGTTTGTGTACTTGTTGGAGAGGGATAGAGAGGAAAGAAGAGGCAATACAGTTATTCCTCACAATTTTCTTGGTGGCCCTTAAAGTGAGTTTTTAGTCAAGTACAGTAGTTCACAACTATAATCCCAGCTACTCAGGAGATTGAGACCCACTGGATTGTGCTTTGAGGCCAGACTTCATGTGAGCAAGCAAGCTGGGCATGACGGAACATATCTGTAATTCCAGCTATGTGCAACATATAGGTAGGAGGATCATGGTCCTAGGCCAGCATGTGACCCTACCTGAAATAGAAATGGCTGGCCATCTAACACATGGTTCAAGTGAAAAGAGTACCTAATGAGCAAATGCAAGGCCCTGAGTTCAAATCCCAGTACAAAGAGAAGGAAGGGAGGGAGGAGAAAGGGAAGAAAAGAGTGAGTTGTTTTTTTTTTTACTCTCTACCAATACAGTAAGAGATGATCTAGAATTAGCAGAGTAAAAGGAACAATAGGTATAGAACTGAAATTTTCTTTGCAAAATATGCCTACAGAGGTAGGTAGGTCCACCATTTATCAGTGAATTCAGAGTTCAAAAATTTATTTAAAAATTAATTACAAAAATTCTGGTCCTGGCCATTTGTGCTAGAAATTGCCTCCACTTCCTATATATACATTTTACTTTAGTTACAGGGGAATATAAGTGTACTGTTAATTGATGGGGATGATACAATTACAGCTGAGCTAGCCATGCTATAATTGTAATAAGTAGCCAGAACACTGAAAGCATATTGTTTAATTCAAAGCTGTGTGGGTAGTTGTTTTTTTTAAACTATTGTATGTATCATATAAAAGCTAAAAGGGATGCAAGTATATTAACCATAAATTATCAAACATGAAAAATATGGTACCTTAAAAATAAAAAGCTTGTTCTCTTGTTAATCTCAAGACAGCACTGTCCTTTATATAACATATATCCCAGAGGGTTGTTCTGTTGACAGTGACTATGCTGGATGTTCAATTCTGTCATCCAGGAGGGAAACTAAAGAAACAAAAGGTCTTCCTTCTAAGCATGGGTGGGTGCCCCTCAGACTCTTCCTGGGGTTTTTTACTGTGCTCTCTATCTTTTCTGGGAGTTTAATGCACTCTTTTTCTGTTTCCTTTCTTATTCCTTTTTAATTTAAGCATTATTCTGTTTCAGCATTTACTACATGACCAATTTGTAAATGAAGTCTTGCCTTATAATAGGTATATCAAGTTAAGAATGTGCAGTGCACAGATTTACATGTTAATATTTATAAGTACATGTGGTGACTTTTGAAATCTTTTTATTATCTAATTGAAATCAGAACTTATTTAGATGTTAGAAAGTTTCTTTAAAGTTTAGTTAAAAATTAATTTTGTGTAACATAGGAAGAAATGAACTTCAGAAAATACTAATAAATGCTGTATTACTTTGGGATAAGAAGTCTTCATTAAAAAGATAAACAGTACTATCATGAAATCTGCTTAGAAAAATCTTTTTATTGCTGAAGGTTCTTGAAATCTAGTATGTTAGGAATTTATTTGTTCATATTTAAGAAAAACAAATACAGAAACTTCATAGGAAACATTCTTTTAAATTATTTTATTTAAAATATATTCATTAATTTTTCTCAACTTTTGTTATATTTCTTGTATTATTTTATTAATTTTACATAAATATTGCAACATTGAGTATGAAAGAAGTTTAAAGTTGGCTATTTCATTTTATTAAATCTAATTATTTTTTCTTGCAAAATCTAGGCGATGTAGTTACAGGAAGTGATGCTCAGGTTTCTGTTCCTGCTCAGACTCTAACTGACCTCCAAGGTACAGTTACCATAGTAGCATTCCCTCCCTTCCTTTCCCCTTCCTTTCACTTCTTCCTCCTCTCTCTCCCTCCACACCCTTCCTAAGTATTGTTCTTCCAAAGGTCCGGTTTTCCTGTTGCCCATCTCCATTCATTCATACCATGTATAAACCACTGCCATTGTTTAGCCACTGAGGGGCACTGTTGTGTAGATAAAAAACCCTCAAGTCATACCTTGATGATGCTAATTTGTATTAAACATACACAACCCTCTTTCCTTGAAAAATACAATTCACCCTATATTTGTGGTTATTTTAACATTAAATTTTGTAGGGTATCTGATAAGTTGTTCTTTTTGTTGCAAAGGTACTCTGAGATATTTGACTTGTTCTGAGATGGGGCAATTTATGTGCTATGATTAGCCATCTTTGACCTTAAAAATTACAAAAGGGTTTGAAATGCTTTTTAAGTATAGCTGCCTTTGTATTATGAATTATCTTAACACAAAGTACGTTATAGTTAATTCCCATTTATAGTAACTGGCAGTGATTTACAATAATAAGAGAATCTTTTGATATATTCATTTGTTCAAAAGGTGGAAGAAAGTGTTTATTATGAAATACAAAAAGTGGCAATGTATTTTCATTACTTCCATGGAATCTTAATATATATTTAAGGTTACTGCATTAATCTTTTATTATAGTCTTGTAGCTGAAATGTCCAGAAATGTCTCTGTTAAACAGAAGCCTTGACTAACTGAATCTTTCATTCAAATCCAGACTAAAGTGATAGCAATATAGTATTAAGGTTCATATCACGGTTTCCTTATAGTACTCATATAGTACAGTTATCTAGTAGTGTTAAATACTTTACAGAATCCCTTCCACCTTAACAGACACCAAGTAGAAGCATGCATTTAGTCAGCAAGTATTAGCGAGTGCCAGCTCTGTGTTCACTGGTCCCTTGCTTCTCCACCTCACCAGCTCACTTGGGCTTCTTTGGCTTTAGATGAGCCAGTTAGGCCTGTGCAATAGGGAACCCGCTCTTTTTCTTATCCCCTTGGCCTCTCACGCTGTCAGAGAATGCATGAACAGCTCCAAATGAACAGCTCTGTCTGTGACAACTCTAACAATGATGAGACAGTGAGATGACACCTACCCTGATTTAGAAGAAGTCACTCTGTGTTTTCCGGAAGAGTGCCAAAAAGCAAGCAGAAGTAGATGTAAACCAAACTGTCAATAGTGGCAGCAAAACATTTCTTACCCATGCTGAATAATAATATTAGAAGTTGGTACATTTAATCAGAGATGTCAAAGCTATTATGGTCTTCTCTACAGTATTTCAGAAGTAAAGATATTTTTTAATTTCAGGGAAATTAATCTATTGTCTTAAGTTTTCCCAAGTGTCTTTTTTCAAAGTAATAAAGTAAATTTGAGGAAATAAAACCAACGCTTCCAATAATTCTTTGATTATATAGTCTTTTTTCATAAAATTCAATGTTATCTTTTCACTGTGTAATACATAGTAGTTTTAATTTTTTAAGTAAAAACTGACTATAAAGTGAGATTCCATTATTTAGATCAGTAAGTAATTTTTACAAAAGAATGAGAAAGGTGTCTTTTATCAGGCAATGTAGGTTGCAGCCACAAAAACATGTCATATAAAATTTATTTTTTGACAATTTATTCCTATGGATTTAAAATTAGTTTAGATTTCTTAATTAACATAAACGTCCTTAAGAAAGCATAACAGAAATGTACCAGTGAAGATGACAGAAAATTGCTAGTACAAAGAGAAGGAGGTCAAGTCAATAAGAGTAGGAAGCTGAAAAGATATCATTCACACCCTAGACATGGGCCACTTTTCAGTCTACTGAAATTGTATTCCTTTCCTAATAAACTTCTCTAAAGAAAAAAGAAAGAAAAGAAAAAGCAAAGGAGAGAACTACTCTTCCTACTCATAGGAGTGAGGAAGACACCAAGCAACCAAAACACTTTCCTTATAGATGACACATGTGCCATGCTTGTTGTGAATTGGTTCTCTTGAAGCACAGCAAAGGCCCACTGTGTAATCACATGAAGGCAGAGAAGTGGGTTACAGGTAAAATAAATTTGCTAGGGAATACATTTTTGTAGAATACCCATTCCAAAATACATTGAATGCATGAGTTGTTTTTAGACTATGAACAAGGTCAGAGTTTGTCTTTAATTTTAAGAGCTTTATTTCACTTTTAGGTCACAGTAAAGCACAGTTGGCAATTTGACATAGCTGAACATGAGCATACCTTTGAATATAGCTCTATCACTGCCTTGTGTAACCCAAGGAACTTAATTAACCTCTTAATTGTGAAAAGAGAATTGAGGCTAGGCATGCCTATAATCCCAATACTTGGGAGGTAGTGATCTAAAGGACTGAGGTTTAATCCCTGTAAGAAATTAGTGAGACTTCATGTTAATCAGTAAGCCAGGCATAGGGACACATACCTTCCCTCACAAGTAAAGGAAAGCTGAATGTGGAAGGATTGTGGCATGAGACAAGCCCTAGGCAAAAACAGAAGACTCTACCTAAAACATAACTAAGCAGACTAAAGGAAATAACTAAAGGACTGGGCCATGGCTAAAGGGTAGAACACCACTCAGCAAGCACAAGGCCCTGATGGGGTACGTGAATATGAATGAATGAATATGAGCAGCTACTCCAGGATTTGTTATAGAGCATACTCCTATATTCCCTAAAATGAGGGCTCTATGCTGCTGCTTACTCAGGTAGTGGTAGTAATGTGCGCCATTCTGAAGTTTCCTCAGATGTTCAGGCATTTAGACTTCAGTCGTCAGACTAGAGAAAGTATATTTCACAGACTTTAAGTATAACCTGCTTCTGTTTACTCTCCTGGCACCAAGATATCTGTCTGTGCTGAGTAGACACTGGCCTTCTTACTGTCACTCATGTCTTCTAGGTAACAAACTTACTGAATAGTGGCCAGCTGCCTCATGCTTAAAGCCAAGTCAAGGGTAGTTCTGTAATCACAGCGCTGAGGTTCCCTGCTTTCCCCTTCCGCTCTCCTGTGCTCTGCCTCCACACTAAGGCCCCTGTAGTCCTTTGGTCTCCTGAATTCCATTCCCTCAAGTGGCTTCATGTATATTGACTATTTAGGAATATAGTCTAGCATCTGTCCGTTTTCCATTGAGTTGTATGAGAAAAAAAAGCCATGAAAATATGGAACATACTAGAAGCTCAATAAATATTCCCCTTCCTGTTTCCTTGGTAGTCAAGACTCCTCATTGATGTTTAAAAGGCTCTTGAAAAATAATCTTTATTGAAGTATGAACCTTTATGAAATACATATTAAAAACATTAGGTGTTTCAAAAAGGGAAATTTTAAGAATGAAATTTGTAATATACCTAGACACCCAAGCAGGGTTTTTTTTTGTGCAAGTTAGAATAAAGCCACTTGTCCTATGCAGACACAGCCCATAATAGGGCATGCAATTTGACAGGAAGATTATAGCCTGGATATCAGCACCTCTACTAGGGCAGCCATATGTGGGGTATATGTGGTAGTCTGTGCCTGCAGCCAGTTAGGTGAAGTCTGGATTAATGAGAAATTATCCCATCCAGTAAATAATCCCACTGAGAAAGAAAGGGCCTTGGTATAGCTTATGAAGCTGCCTGCTATACTGTGCCTTCCATTAATCTACTCTCATTGTCCACTTAGAACATGCAGCAATTTAGAGATAAGAACTATAAAACAAGGATGGTCAGAGACTTGTTCAAGACCACACATCAGATGCCAACTGAGCTCAGACTATGCTAGGTGTAGTGAACCACTGGGCATTAGCTTGAGAATTCTGCCTTATAAACATCTCTGAAATCTACTTCCATAGCTGAGGTTTAATCCTTTTAATCTCCTCTGGCCAATTCAACATGTGCCTCACCCAACCATCCTTGTAATCCTTATGCTGCTTTTGTGCTTAAAATCTGTAGTAACTCTCATCATCTGCCATTGTGACAAAGGCCAGACCCCTGTACAGGAAACCGAGTGAGCACCTCTTGATATGGCTGTTCCTATTTGTACAGCCTCCTTTCCTTCTTTCTTCCTTCCCCAAAACGAGGTATCCAAGAAGGAGACTGAATTCACACTTAAATTATGAGTAGCTTTTAGAAAGAATTTGATTCTTTATTTCTTCCCACCTGCCCCAAATATTAAAATTCTCACAAATGAACAAAAAAAACACTGTGTTGGATTTAATCATGTTTTACAATTTCATATTTGGTTTTATTTTGATTTACATGTTGATGGCAAAGGAGCACCAAAGGTTTTAATCAGATGTTAACAGTCATGTGAATGCCTGTGTAAATACTATGTCATCTAGTAGAGGCACTCTCCGTGAGCTACCTCCACCACCACCACATGCCCCTTGGGGCTTTAAGAGTTTGCTCACTTCTCTTATGGTCTTAGACAGTATCCGTTCTTACACTCACAAAGTGCTGTTGTTTTTTTCACCTAGAATTCCAAGAAAGTGTTTGTATATGTCTTCATTTCTCTTGTACTCCATTTTGGGAGTTTCTGTTGTGATCCTCAGCCCATCTCCAGTGCCTGGCAGAGTTTCCATCAGTCTCCATAGGGCTTATTTCCTGCTCCTTCCCTGCTGGTTAGTTATGAATAGCAGATTTCTTGTATATACTCCTGAGGTGGCTTAAGAATGGCCTTTGTTCCATATTTTAGACCACATTACAATATAAAATAGTTGTCCTCAGAAATCCCAAGAACCAAAGTATGAGATTTGTAGGTAGGAAATTTATTCTGGAGTGTCCTGTAGAATAATACCTAGGGAATGAAAGAGGCCCCATTAGGTAGCTGGGGAACAGGGTAGAGCTGGCATGCACAGCTATTCTTTGTCAATTCAAAGCAGCCACTAGATTGGCATCATACCCCAGGCAAATGTCATGACCTTGGCCAGGGCAACTCCTTCCATCTGAGGGCAGTTTTCAAAAATGCGCTCAAAAGAGCTACCAGCAACCAATATTGCCAGCAAATGGCAAGTAACTATGTTAATCCTAAAAAGATAGAATACCACAACAATATATTTAAGAATACGTTGAATTATGTCTCTAAGAATGATAAATGTAATATAAAAATATTTCATGTCTCTATCAATCAAAAACTCAACAAGGTATTGTGGCTTATGATTTCCAAGCAGCTGGGGACTGTCCAGGAAAACTCTGAATGAAGCCACATCCACTTACCCCAATGTGCCTCCCAGATGCCATATTCTGTTTGGGCTAAATACTAACAGGCAGGAAAGTCAGAACATTCTTACTATTCTAGGGCTGTGTGTGTGTGTGTGTGTGTGTGTGTGTGTGTGTCCCCAACCTAGGGCTTGAACTCAGACCCTGCTGTCCCAGAGCTTTTCTCTCAAGACTAGCACTCTACTGCATGAGACATAGCTCTTCTTCTGGCTTTTTAGGGTAATTTGCTAGAGATGAAGAGTGTCACAGACTTTCCTGCCAGGACTGGCAATCCTCAGATCTCAGCCTTCTGAGTAGCTAGGATTACATGCATGACCCACTAGTGCCCAACAATCTTAGGGCTTTTTAAAAAATGTCTCCAGGTGCACTGTCTTCTTTGGGAACATGGTTCACTTACTCTGTTTTCTTACAATGTAAATGTACCTGTTCCCAAAGAATTCAAAAGTATTAGTACGCTAATTTCTATAGTTGAAAAAATATATTTTTCAGAGTTTTAAGTGAAGTATAGGCTGTTCTTTATTGATACTACCACTTATTTGAAATTTGATAATTCAGAGAGAAATTCTCATAAAAGCTGCCCTTAGTATTCACTGAAAAGTTAGTGTGTTGAGCAGAATACTAGCTGTAACAGGAACCTGGAGGCTACTGCTCCTCAAGAGAGCAAATTGCTCTCAATTCCTTCTCACAGGTAAAAATATAAGCTAATTTATTAAATGATGTCACAGCAATTACAAAATATAACCTGGGTTGTGTGAACATATTTAAAAGTTTAAACTGTTTATAGGTTTACACTTGTCCTGTCCCCTATGATATTTCCTAGGCACAGGCAAACACTAAACACTTAAAGTCTATCATACATGAGTATTAAAAGTGTTTGGAATTTTGAAAGCTAAGTATAAAAGTACAATGCATCATTTTAAAACAGTATCAACTAAGTGTTGTGATGCTAATACTTTAGATATGTTGGGTTAAATATTAAAATTAATTTCACCTTTCCACCTTCTTCTTAAGTATCAATATTAGAAAATCTAAAATAATACGTATGGCTCCTATTATGTTTTATAAAGCAGCAGTCCTGTTCAGATATTCCAAATTGGTAACAGAGCAGACCTATAGCTAGGCTTTCCTAACAGGTAAGCTAGTACTCACCATAATCCCTGTCCTTAGGTAGGTACAGATTTTAATGGCATTTTACTTACATAGTACAGATTTCATATGATTGAATTAGATATACACAGATCTCTAATGCATAGCCTCTATCTGGGCTTAGAAAATATTCAAAGCAACTAAAATTATATAACATTTGATAAGAAAAGGGCCAACGGATAGATGAGTAGAGAGGAAGGTAGAAGGAAGCATGTCATAACATTGAATGCATATCTCATGAAACTAGGAAAATTGAGGGTAAGAGTTGAGCTGGGAGGGATGGGAAAGAATGATAAAGGGGGTAATATTTATCAAGATTCATTGCACTTATAAAATGATTTGTGAATCAGTTTGTACAACTAAAGATTATAAAAGTATTCTTTAAAAGATTTGATAGATATTTATAAAAGTTCATAAATTTTCATTTGAGAACAAAATAAGGAAAAAAGTTTTAATAGTCCACATAATTCTTTCTCCAAGGGCATAACAAATTTAAGTGATTCTACCTGGAACTTTAGATTTAAACTATAATGCCAAATGTTGAGCATTTAGAGATCACTAGTAGAAGTGATAATTGAAGGGTTAATAAAGAAATTTTCCATAGCTAATGATAAAAATAAAGATTGGCATAGAGAAAATAATCAGGCAGGTATCATGAAGGAGGGGGGAAAAAAGAACATTCCTAGGAAGCCCACAGAGGAGGGAACTGTGAAAGTCCCCGGATGTGTTCAAAAAACACATCAGGTTGTTTATATGATAACCACAAGATAGACATCAAACGTATAAAACTGAGAGCCTGAATATGGGAGTTTGTTTTCAGTCTATGGAACAGTTGTTTTGAACTAAATTCTTACTCAAACAACCTAGCATTCGATGAGAATATGAAAAGAACATTAAAGATCTGCCATCAGATCCACTTCCCTCCTCATTCCTAAGCATCTGTTTTATACATGTCCTCCACCTTTTGTAACTGTATAACCAATTTTCTTAAATTAAAAATCAGGCAATTTTGAAAATTACAAATATTTTAGAAGTCTATGTCAATGTCTAAAAAAGATTAATAATATTCCAAACACCAAAACCTTAAGAGACTGAGATAAAATGATGCTTGGTGGAAATACGATTATTAGAAAATAAAGATGGTAGAATGAATTTTCTATATAATTCAGGAAGATAGAAAAGGAAGAGGAAAGGATGTCCAAGAAAGTAAATACACAAATAAGGATAGAAGAGATTGTCAGCGTATAAAACAGATTATGTCAGAGAAACCAAAAACAGTGGTCTAATCCCACATTTAGCATGTCTAACCAAGAATGGAACCTTACCATAAGAGACAACTGTTTACAACTTAACAAGTTGAAAATTGGAACCATGTATTCAGCCCTAAGGTTCATATTTGCTTTCTTGCTTCTAGAAAGCCCTTTTTTTCTGGGTCTGTTTCTCTACAAAGGTAGCAATGCCAGGTCAAGTCCTCATGCTTTAACTGTCTCCTTTGCTTCTCAATCACACCTCTTTGTACATAGTTCTGTATTCCTTTTCTACCTTAAGGATTCTTGTTGGGACTGGCCAATCCTAATAACCCCAGCAAGATACTCCTAATAACCCCAGCAAGATACTCCTAATAACCCCAGCAAGATACTCTTTCATCTCATGGTCAATAATCTTAACTCAGACCTGCAAGGTCTCTTTTGCCATCTCCACAGGTTCTGGGAACTAAGGATTGTTTTGTCTTATATGTGTTTTGTTTTGTTTTTTGCCAGTCCTGGGGCTTGAACTCAGGGCCTTGGGTATTGTTCCTGAGCTTTTGGCTCAAGGCTAATGCTCTATTATTTGAGCCACAGCTCCACTTCTGGCTTTTTGCTGATTAATTGGAGACTTTAATCACAGACTTTGCTGATTAATTGGAGACTTTAATCACAGACTTTGCTGCCCAGGTTGGATTTGAACCATGATCCTCAAATCTCAGCCTCCTGAGTAGCTAGGATTATAGACATGAGCCACCAGCACCTGGCTTATCTGTGGTCTTTTATGGGATGACCTGACCCAAGAAGAAGTAGAAATCCCTAGAAGTTAACAGCAAAAAATCCATCCCCCAAAAATCATAACAATGATGCCTTTAAAAAGTTGCTAGCCTCAGCAACAATCTTAAACATATATGACCCAAGGACAAATTAATTCATATATATACATATATATGTATATTTTTAGAAAGAAATGTCATGTTTTCATTTTGTGAGAAAGCCTTATTTTTATCAAGCAAAATACTTTGGCATCTTAAGTGTATCCTCTGTTCTATGAACTTGTGGAGGAACTTGATATCTAAATTTGAGCAAATATTCCTATTGTTTTACCTTCAAAGACTTTGAAAACAACAGACTTCATAGAAGAATAGGCGAAATTCATGAAAGGAAAAACCTAGATTTATAATAATTGTCTTTATTATGACCTACTATTCACCTGAAGAAATATCTTTCTAAACAGGATTATCAGAATTCAAAAGCTTGAAAACCAATAGCCTTGCCAACCCTCTCTTATTTATGCCGTGTGCGTACACGTACACACACACATACATACACACACACACACACACACACACACACACACACACACACACACGGATGTTTTCCAGAATTTAGGAGAAACTTCATCCACTTGAAAACTAGAGCTTCAGGGAGGCCTGGTTCAGATGGTAGAGCACCATAAGAGGCCCTAAGAGCCAGAACCTTATTCATTTCTAGATTTTGCAATAGGTTGAGGGTTATTATATATCTATTTAACAGTTAAAGAAGTTTCTTCTGAAAAACTTTGAGGAAGATTTATATTTTTTAAAATCTTAAGATCTTTCTAATATATAGTATAGTAAGTTCTGTTTCTATAATTCAAGGATGATTGCACTAGGGGAAATTCATGCATTTAATTACTGATTTGGGAAAAATGGATTTTTAGGGTTTTTAATTGTATATAGACTGTTTAGCAAAAATTGCATGTAGAGAGCTATAATGGTACTTTATTTTTTTTAAAAAATTAATGTTCATTAATTATATAAAATGCATACATTTGAATACTGTAAAGAATCTTTATGTTAAAAGTATAAACAAACTGGTATAACATTTGGCTGTTATTTATTAAACCCAGTAGATTCAATGCCTTGTTAAAAAAAAATCTGGTGTTTCATTATTGCTTCTGAACTTTCTTTACAGGGCAAAATTCTAAAAACATCAGTTCATCTCCAAGCATTGAGAGTTTACCCGGAGGAAGAGAATTCACGGGCTCGCCACCTTCCTCTGCTACCAAAAAAGATTCCTTTTTCAGCAACATCTCCCGCTCCCGTTCACACAGCAAAACTATGGGCAGAAAAGAATCTGTAAGTATTTAAGACAGGTTGTTTTTATCTTTTATTTCCCACTAGTGTGCTGATTTATGAGAGCTTTTCTAAGTGCCTGGCTTTAAAACACTCTCTACCCTCCTGTGAACTAAAACATAACTTTATTGAAAGTATTTTATCATAATGTTACGTAAATACTCTGTAAAACTGGAAAAGTGGTAGCATCAGTTTCAATAAGTGGAATTTCTCAAGTCCATTTTTTTTGTATTCTACATATGCCTTTCTGTCTAAGTCTGTCATACTTGCAGGCCCTACTTAGGAAGTAGATACTAAGATGGAGTTAGAAGTCCAAAAAGTGTGTTGGGGAATAGCATCTAGGAAAGAAAATAGGAGGGACCAGGACTGAGAAGATAGTATCAGACCATAATGGATACCTCACCAAACAAACTTGTTAGTTTTTTTTCGACAAGGTTTTTTCCCTAAAATTTAAAAAATATTATACCAATGAGGGATTTGAAATAAGCCAAACTGATTTCTTCAAAATTAAATGTACATTTTTAAATAGCTATAAAATGACATTTAAATATGATGTTTTGACTGTTACTATATAAAATCCTTTGTATACATTTCTCTAAAGGACACGTGTAAAGCATATCAGCTGCTTTAAAATCTCACTGTATCTGAAATTTTTATAAGCCAGTTTATTCCACATTTCATCACATTGTATAGCTGTTTCAACTTTTAACATTCTAATATGAAGTGTATCCATTTTACTCCATTATCTTCTGTTTCCTCAATTTTGTCTTCAGCTCTTTCACTGTTTTACAATACTATATTTTGTTTCTAACAGAGATTCTCATTCTCTGAACGTTCAAAATCTTAATAATAAGAGTTCCAAAAAGATAAAGGGAAAGAAATAATAAATATTAATCAAAATATTTTTCCACTGTAACACTTTTATTTAACTTACAAACAATAAAATTATAAACAATGAACCAGTAAATTGTTTTTAAACCAAAAATGCAAGGAATCTATGACAGCAGAATCTTGCCTGGGATGATTCTTTGTAGTCCAGTGCCCTGTGGGGTGAGCGAGAGGCTCCTCCCCTCACACTGTGCTGCCTTCTTCCATCATTTGGCTTCATCTCCATCATCTCCATAAGACACAAAGATGCCAGATTGTACACATGCTGAACACTGCCCGGGAGGCACAGGCAATGGTGTGAGGAAAATTCGAGTAAAGCAATTAGATATATTTACAATGCCTGACTAGATATTCCCATGGGGTTGAATCATGCTAAATTAAATGTGTCATTTATAACACTTACTTCCTTCTGATGACCCTTCTAGAAATTTGATGTTCATGTATTTTTTCAGTTGCATATTACCTTGCGGACAGTCATTTGTGCCCTAAAGTGCACATGTACATAGAAGAGAAGAAAATGAGGACTTTGGATGGTCTTGTACAGATGGAAGTCAGCCAAAGCCAGAGGCCAGATTGTAGAGCCTGTAATGTCTCCTTATTCCCTGCCCAATGGCATTAGCATGCTCTCCTATACTGCATCTTCCTGATTTCAAGCCTCATATACTCTTTAAAATACCTGCATTAACTTTCCTGGGATATTATGTTTTTAATCTGCAATGTTTTCATTCAGCAGATGAATTCTAGGCCTCCTGATCAAAAAAGAAGATGCTGGGCTGATGGTTTTCACTTTGTCCCTGAAACCTTAAAGCAAACATATAACTTTTTAGATTATTCTCATACCTAAACCAAAGTCCTATGTTCAAAGTTCATTCAGAGCTTGGGCATCTTTACCAGAAATGCTTCTAGCTTTCTGCTTCCTAGCTTTCTTCTCCAAGAAGCCTGCGTGAAGCCCATGTGAGAGCATGATAGACATACGTAAGCACCAGCAACCTCACATATGAAGCCTGGGAGAAAAGGGCAAGGGAACACCAAAACCCAACCCCAGCTCTGTTCACGAAGCAGCATATATAGCTTTTGCTCTGAGACTAAATGCCCGGAGGAAGGGCACTTCTTTCTCTGCATAATGAAATACCCACTCCATAAGTCTTGCACTGAAGGGGATTGACTTTTCCTAATTTGAAAAGCATAGTTTAAGTTACCAGTTGATCTAACTTAGTGAGCAGCAAACTGCAGGAAAATTTAGGATCTATCTTATGGTGCTAATAATAAAATTAAAACCTTGGGGAGAACTAGGAAAATGTTAGCATTGGCCTGAGGAACAAATAAGATGAGAAAAAAAGCAAAAACACAATTCATTCGACCACAGGAATAATACTGAGAATAATGACTTTGACTTACACAGGAATTCCTCAGTCATGCTTTATTAATCCTCTTTATAAGCATGTTTGTCATGACAAATACATTTGATTAATTTTATCACAGTTATATCTGATTAGACTAATGAATTGACTCATATAAGCTTGACCTTGGTGGTATGGGGTGATTGCTTATGAAATATATTTGTTCATGAACAGTATTTTAGGCAACTGAAAAAAAATATCTAGACTCTTCTGGGCCCTGACATTACAATATGACTAAAAGATTTTAAATGCTTTCAATATGGATCACAATAAAATAATCTGATTCCTGAAACATCTCTAACAACAACCTTCCTCAGAATATTTGCCAGTTCTTACAGTGTTTTTGTTTAGTTCTATCAATAGCCTTATCATCTCCATTCTACATACCATTTTCCAGACATTTTTGGAATTATGGTCAGTAGATAGAAATAACTATCAATAACTCAAAGTATGATATTTGAATTAAGTCAAGAACAAATTGCCCTTATAGGACAAAGTTACGGGCTACATTTGAAAAACAAGAGAGAAAGGAATAAAGTTGTAAAAACTGCTTTTCTTGAGAAGCAGTTGTGAAAGCGGAAGCTCCCTCTTCTCCTCCCCCTCCCGATGCACACCCTTCGTTTGTAGACGCCAGACTAGACCCGACTCCTAGACCCGTGCTCCTGCTTCCCTTCCTGTGTGTGTGCGTTTGCTCATTCACCCTGGGTAGTTCTATTTTTGTTCTCTAGGTTCCTTGTCTTTCTTACTTGGCTTCTTTGGTAAACTCATAAATGTGGCTTGATTTCACTAAATAAACCATAAGTAGTCATGCCTCCTCATTGTAGCACAAAGGGCCTTACATACTATTATCTAGCATCACCACCAGATTATCACTCCCACCTGCTGACCAAGTTCACGAAGGCCACCCCAAAGAGAAGATAGTTTGTGACATTAACCTGAATCCTTCCATATATTCCTTTAGATATCTAAAGGGTTCCCTTAACAAGCAGAGACCTTGTAAGTTACAGTATGTCTCCAACCACATGTAAACCCACTATCACAATGCCCCAAACATGAGGGATAATTCATATGCAAATAATACTCTAATCAATTTATAGTAAACAGTGAGAAATGCTGTCAAATTACATCAAGATGTTCTCAGTTTGGATTCCAGGCAGTTTTTTGGATTTAAAGCATATTTGTATACTCTACATGCAACTCTTAATCACTTTAGTATAAATATACATATCACATAAAATACCAAAAAAGTACTTTTGAAGAATCAAATTGAAGAAATAAAAATGAAAAATCAGCATCATTGATGTGAAGTTAACATTTATATAAATCTTAAAATTAACTCTAGGTATCAATAAGACTTCAATATCATCCATTGTTGAAGCTACTAATATCATATTTTCTGTAGCTCATGTTGTCCCAAACTTGAGATTCTCTTCCCCACCTCCCTATATTGCCATCTACCACACCCAGCCTTGGACATGATTCATGAAAGTTTTCAGAATTAGGTTTAATGCTAGTATTGTACCTCACTGGTGGAGGCTTAGCAAGTATGTGATTGATTCCCAGCACTGAAAAAGAAGTAGGGGATGAGGATTCAAAGCAAGACAGATGGTCAAGAAAATAGACAATACCTAATACGTGAGCCAGGAATTAAGATTCAAATTTGCAAGCTGTTCTAATTTTTAAAATATTCAAATGCTGAAGCTTGCATATTACTTGAGACTCTTCCTATTCAGGATGCATTTAAGGTACATGTAATAGAAATTTTGATTCAAGCTCATTCTAGTAACAAAGTTATTAGTTTAAACAAGTGCGCTGTCTGCATATTTGAATCATCTAGGGAGTTTTACAACAATCCAGGCAACAGAAGAGCTGAAGGAGAATCTCTGTGGTGAGGCCTGGACACTGGTAATTATTTAGTTTCCCAAGCCATCCAAATGTATAGTCAAGGTTTAGAATCACTGATTTAGAAACTCTGAGTGACTTCCAAGGACTCAAATTCTTGTTCTCAGCCTTCTGAGAATAGTTCTTCCACAGTTTGGAAGCAAAACAGATACATTTGCAGATACATTGTTCACCAACCTCCAGAGAAAAGAAAACCCATATATCCCCGAGTCATCCTTTTATTTTTTTAAAATTTTTTTACTCAGTTTTGGGGCTTGAATTCAGGACCTGGGTGCAGTCCCTGAGCCTCCTTGTGCTCAAAGCTAGTGTTCTACCACTTGAGCCACAGTGCCACATCTGGCTTTTTCTGAGTATCTTACTGGAGATAAATCCCATGGACATTCCTGCTTTTGTGTGGCCTTCAAACCAAAATTCTCAAGTCTCAGCCTTCTGACTAGCTAGGATTACATGTGTGAGTACCAGTGTCCAGCTTCCTTTGTGGATTCTTAAACATGGAGAAATCTCTCTTGAACATATCTATCATAAGCATCTTTTTGATTAGTTATCAACAGGCTAGTCTTATAAGATTGATGGAAAGAAGCCATATTGCCTGTGCTACAAAAATTAAGTGGCAGAGAGAACAAAGGAGACGTGGGCAGCATGTAGAATGTCTTGAACAGGCCAAACACATAAGAGAAAAATGCCCAACAACAAACAGAGCCTCTACTTTTAAACAAATGGTTACTAAGCAAAACGTTTTTAAAACAACTTTGGCAGCAAAATGGGTTCCACCTTAGTTTATTAAATTAACCTTTGAATACTCCATAGGTCTGC